CTTCCCTTCTCATTGCAGTTTTCCAACCCCGATGATCAAATCCCTCAGGACCATAACCACCTTGTCACCATCCACAAAAAGGATTTGCGTCTTTTTCTGCAGAACTCACTCTGAGGCCTTCGGGAGGACAAAGGTTAAACAAAGATGCAAAGCGCAAGTGCAAGAATCAAAGAGAGTTTGGTAGGGACACAGGGCACAAACGAATGTTTTGGTGCTATCCACTCAATGCCTCTTAATGCATACAGTAGGACATTCCCCTCACAGTGATCATCCACAGAGTAACATGGGGCCCTTGCATTGCCTCTCCTCATACAGTCGATGTTGGGCTCATTGTCAGGATCGTTGTTGCCCAACTTCAACTTGCGCCAAGCATCCAGCAGCTCAAACAAAGTAACCAAATGTTGCTTCATCCTGAATCCAGTTTTGACACACTGTGTCAGCAGCTAACATCCATCAGGACCAAAGAACACATACACCTATGTTACTTCTTGATCCTGAGCTTGACGGCGAGTGTTAGCGGCGCTGCTGCTTCAAAGTTGCCATTGTCACAACACTCTGACCAACAACTCACACATGCTTCGCTGACACACGGAGCTTCAGAGCGTTCAATAGGCTCAGCTGACTGAATTTGCAGAGTCTCCTTGATTGCGAACTTTGAACGTTGAGCTTCCCTTCTCATTGCAGTTTTCCAGCCCAAATGACTCTCAACCCCCTCACAACCTTAACCACCATGTCACCTTCCACAAACGGGACTGTTTGTAGAAGTATATAGCATAGTGAAGATCCATAGGAAGCCCGCTCAAAAAATAGTGAAGCTGCCAATGGATCATTTCAGTGCAGATCACGCCGCTCAAGTTCGCAGCAGCACAGCCGGAAGCCTCATAAAAGTCTTCGGTTCAATCATTTGGGTGGACAATGGTGCCAATAACATGTTAGGACTATAGATGATGTCAGGCCAGGTCGTGCAAATCGATCGGTGCTGCAGATGAGTGGGAGCTTGGAGGATGATGCCAGGCCACACAGTGGAAATGGATCAGCGCTACAGATGAAGTTGGGCCAGGACCCGCATAGCGTGAGCTCAGTGATGCACATGAAGAGGAGCAGAGAGGCATGATGTGCACGGAGCTTCAAATGGTTCAATAGGCTCGGCTGACTGAATCTGCAGAGTCTCCTTGATTGTGAACTTTGAAACGTTGAGCTTCCCTTCTCATTGCAGTTTTCCAACCCCGATGATCAAATCCCTCACGACGATAACCACCTTGTCACCATCCACAAAAAGGATTTGCATGTTTTTTTTTCTGCAGAACACTCTGAGGCCCGCGCAAAAACTCAAAGGTAAAACAAAGATGCAAATCGCGAGCGCGAGGATCAAGACACAGGGCACCTACGAATGTTTTCTAAAGTCTAATTTGATGGAGTTCTTCTGTGTGTCAGCATGGAGCTCCAAACTGGCATCAACAAGAAGAAACCAAACACGAACAGGGGAAGAAGGGTTGAAAGAACAAATAAAACCACTGAGTCTACCAAAACTGAAGTCGGTCAAGGTGTTAGCATGTTTGAAAGGATGGACCGTAGTGAAGCTGCCAATGGATCTCATCAGTGCAGACCACACCGCTGAAGTTCGCAGCAGCACAGCCGGAAGCTTCAACATTTATTCGGTTCAGTCGTTTGGGTGGACAAAGGTGCCAATAACATGTTAGGACTAGATGATCAAGGCTTCGTAGTGCAAATCGATCATTGCTGCGGATGAGGGGGGGGCCATCAGGATGATGCCAGGCCACATAGTGCAAATATGTGCAAATGAATCATTGCCGCAGATGAGGATGATGCCAAGAAAGTCAATATGAGGTGATTCTTTGCAGGGTGTGGGTGTGGCACCTTTTCTCACTCCAACGGTGCATTGGATCACCGCAGGAGGGGGAGCAGGATGGTTTCCATGCACTTTTGCTGTGCAAACTTCTCACTGTGCTCGTCCATCACCCATCCGTGTAGGTCGTAAACGGAGAACTTCGCAGTAGCACAGCGAAAGCCTCGTAGAAGCTTCGGCTTGGTCGTTTGGAGTGGACAAATTAAATGTGCCAATTCCATGCAACTCACATCTAAAGTCACGCCACGTCGACTCAAGAAGGGTTTGCTGGTCGGCTGGGGCAAGAAAAGACGGATGCGAGGCTCGGAGGTGGCGACCTAAAACGAAAAAAGACACCGATGCGCGGTGGATCTGTGTGGTGTTGGGGGAAGATGTGCTTTTTCTTAGCCAGGCCATGCAGACCCAATGATGCTCAAACCCATCTTAACCATGTCACCTTCCACAAGCAATTTTGTGTAGAAGTAGTTAAGCTGCCAATGGATCTCATCAGTGCAGATCACACCGCTGAAGTTTGCAGCAGCACAGCCCTTTGGTTCAGTCGTTTGGGCGGACAATGGGGCCAAGAAATGCCAAACACATGTTATGACTAGATGATGCCAGGCCAGGTCGTGCAAATCGATCGGTGCTGCAGATGAGGAGTAGCCGAGAGGATGATGCCAAGAAAGCCAGTGCGAGTGTAATTTGTTTTTGAGGGTTTGGAAGTTGTTTTTGTTTTTCACTGCAACGGAAAAGGCAATAGTGTGTCTTCATTCTGAACCGGTGCTTAAAAGAACTTATTGGCTGCTGTTGGCAGAACCGCATTGGCTGGGCTGGTGGTAAAAGCAATGCCAGACCGCATAGTGCAAACTCAGTGCACATGAAGAGGAGCAGAGGGGAGAAAGAGCAGAATTTTGG